CTGCTGAATATCTTGACTGTAAAAGATCAATACATGCATTATACTACCAGTGTTTCCTAATCATTAAATACTTCAGTGATTTCTTTAGGGATAATACAATGATGATAATGTTTTCCTAAGCTTTGAGGTTTAGAAAATTTAATCTGAGGCTCGCAGCTGAATTTTACGTTACAAAACAACACTAGGCAATGTAATAGAAATAGAATGCAAAGGAATGTCACCTCTTGGAAAATATTTTCATACTGTGTCACATTTTATATGAATGTCAGTAAATTATAGTGAGAGGCTGTACAGAAGGAGAGAGTAAAATGGTTTAGAGTTTCCTGTTTGGTTTTTTGGAGGTTTTTTTTACTACCTTTATTATTCTTTTATATTACCTGATTTTTTTTTCCAAATAGATTTTATTTATAAAATATTCACAAGTTTGGGGGAAATCAAGACCTTTTTTAAAAAAATAGAGCATGATTGGAGTGCTTAAAAAAAAAAAAAAAGGGTACTCAGTACATGAGTGTTCAAGATGGTGAAGGCCCTTACCCAAAATGACCTATGCATCCACTTAAATCCTAGTTTGACTGAGAAATCAATCCAGCCTGAGCTCATTGTGATTTCTGGGATTTCTAAAGGCAAGTGAAGAGTTGTCTTTATTTCTGAGCAAGCAGTTACACAACGTTTTAATTTGTTGATTTCCACATTCAGATGTTTTAGGGCTCTCCATTCCTTTGAAGAATATCTTGTGTGTTGATCAGTTTATCTGAAATATGCAAGTGAGATTTCAGCCAAAGGGTTGAAATATTATTTCTTTGAAATAAACAGAAGCTCATAAAGACTTACTGTTATATGAAGCTTTTGATTCCCAAGACGCATCTTGAAACTTCTATTAGGCCATTTTCAGGTTGAATATTAGAAGAAAAGGAAAAAAAGTGTGAATAGCTAAAGCTCTGTTACTTATCATTAAAATAGAATTGAAAAATGCTTATATTTGAAGCAGGATGATTTGGGATCTGTTTACTGTGTACCAGACAATACTTTCAGTGAAGCATGAAAACTTTCATCCCAAGTCAATAACTTGGATATGTAAAAGCTAACAGAATTTTCTTCTTAAGCTTTATAGCTTGAGGTGACAAGTGCTACCTTGAGGTATTAACTAAAAAAGTTTATTTTCTCATTCTGACTTCCTTGTAGACCTTTCAGTCTTTTAATGGGATGATTTGCAACACGGGTTACAGTTATCAGTGCTTCTCTAAATTACAATTTTGTACTCTTAGACTGGAGGAACTGGCTGGGATTTGTGCTAATTATGACATTCCCCATATTGTCAACAATGCGTATGGAGTACAGTCTTCAAAATGTATGCATCTTATCCAGCAGGTAGGAGCTGTGTATTTCAAATAATGGGTTTTTTTCAAAGCTATAAGTACATCTCTGATTATAAACAACACTAGCAAATTTTATAGGATGTTTCACAACTTTGAGAATAATCCCATGCATGTCTGGTATTTGAATAATTGTCTGAGAAAGCGGAGCAGAGAGAAATAGAACTTAAAAATAATATTTGTTATTTCTATTATGTGCTTTTTATATAATAAACCCAAATTTACTTAGGTTTTGTTTATGCTGGAGTGTCTTTTATAACAGAAAAATGTCCTTAATAAGCTTTCTTAAAATATTTCCTAAACTTGTTGACTAAAAATAAAATAATGGATCATACCTGAATGGGGATTAAGCCTTAGACAGAATGTGAGTTACAGATTTTTAGTTGAAGGTACAAGATCCTACGGCAACACTTTATAGATGTTGTCACTGTTAAAATATTGTTGGCACAGAGAATGGTTGAGGAAACTGGATTAAGTTCAATGTTATGTTCGAAAAAGTTTAGTTTCTGTTGCTGTTCAGTTTGAAGAGGAGGTTGTTTAGTGTCTAAGATCAGCCATGAAACTTGGAATTCTTGCATTTTTGCTCATTGCAATGTACGTGCACTGTTTTTTCAATATTTGTCTTTTCTCTCTGTTGCCCATATCAAAAGAATAGGGGTGTATATATATATTTTTTAACAGGATCCAGGGGATCCTGAGCTATCATGAATTTTAAATATGCTGCTCTTTTTTTATTTTTTCTAATTAAGAAGATGTTACGTTATTAACTGGGCACAGACCGACTTGATAGATAATTATGACAGGAACATCATGTTGGCATTTCTAAATCTGGAAAGGCTGAGAGAATTTTCCAAAACTTCAAGTGATAGGTGAAGTAGAAAATGGCATGTGCTTTATTCATAATGTACTCAGTACATGTTTATTGTATTTAACTTGCACAAGTTCAGTGAAATTCTAACATGAAGGGGGCTGTGGAATTGCTGAGTTTTACTGCATGAAACGTATCTAATGATAATCTTTTCAGACTATAAAGCTACAAATGGAACTGTTACTGTGTTGGTTTCAGTGTTTTTTCTTGGCTTCTCGATAGGTTGTTTGGGGGTGGGTTTGTTTGTTCTTTGGTTATGCAAGTGTATACATTTGAGCTCTGATTCGGTTTACATTTATTTACAGAAATGTATTTGCTGTGATAGAAAATGTGCTGTCTATGAGGAAGCAGTTATTAATGAATACTTAGGAATGCGTACATGCTGAGCTCAGTGTGAACAAAACTTGCAAGAGTATCACAGGAAAGAGCTTTTGAGACCATTTAATTTGTCATGCTTTTCCTCTGGTGGTCTCCTGTCAGTTAAATCAAATGATAGCTGCTGGCATTCACCTTCCTGTCAAAAAGCTGACAAACTCAGGGTGCTTCTTCCCATCTCCCATGCACTAAGCTATGAAAATATAGAACTAACAACTGTGGTTTAGTTGGATCTGCTTTTTTCACTCTTTTTGACATAGCTATTGACTCCATTTCTATTTCTTGATTTTAGTGTGTAGTACTTGAATATGTATATATTTGAATATACTTTAATATCTGTCTTCTTTAATATACTTTTCACATTCTGGTATGCTGCATACTTTTTAATTGTACAGTTCACAGTAGCATATTATTCAAATTGAAGATCAACTGGAGAATCTATATTTTTTCCACTCAGTATCTGAGTGGCTAGGTATAAGGATGTTTTGTTTTCTGGGAAATAGAGAAATCTGCTATAGGAAGGAAAGCAGCCCTATACGATGGAGTACTGTCAGAGCTCTCTTGTTTTAATGCAAATTTATACATGTATGAAGAAAAATCTTCTTTTCTAATGAAGTATTAACCTATAGCCCTTTACTGTGAGATGTTTTGGGTTGTACATTTTTAACTGTGTAATTACCATTAAATTCCAAAGGTTTTCTTTTTGGTTTTTGTTGAAAATAAGCTACACTTAGACTTGCAGGAACTAAAATCAATATTTTTAAATCATAGCAAAACAGGGATTTGTAAGGTACTATGTAAGCAGATAATAGTAATAACAGTAAGCAACGCTAAGAAAAGGTAATACTATAATTTTATTTTTTTTTAATCACAAACACAGTATCTGAGAGAGTTTCAGGAATTGTATTTATTTCAATTACATTACTGTGTAATTATGACACTATCACATGTTTCTTTTTTCCTAATGTATGCTCTGGATTTTTCTTTTTTGTTCCTTTCTGATAAAGGGTGCTCGAGTAGGCAGAATAGATGCTTTTGTTCAAAGCTTGGACAAAAATTTTATGGTTCCAGTAGGTGGTGCTGTCATTGCTGGCTTCAATGAGTCCTTCATTCAGGAGATCAGCAAAATGTATCCAGGTAACTAGTTCATGGACTGATTTAATCCACACAAAATAACTGTAGAAAATTTGATTATCATCTTTCTTTCACATAAAATTTATTTTTGCCAATTTAATCTCTATGGGGTGTGGGGTTTGTTTTTGTTTTTTTCAGGAAGAGCATCTGCGTCTCCTTCCTTAGATGTCCTCATTACCCTTCTGTCTCTAGGTGCCAGTGGCTACAAACAGTTACTGAAAGAGAGAAAGGTAAGCTTTTGGGCAAGCAGCACTTTCTTGAAGTCAGCTGTTAACAACATCTTGTTGCAAAACTGCTGTGTGTAGTAAATCCAGTTTCTGTCTAGAAAGCTGTTGTATTTCTTCTGAGCTCACAGCTCTGGATCTGGAAAGGCAGTATGATGTAGTTACTACTTGGCCAAATGGTGCTGATGAGTAATTATTATTTCCATGCTGTTTTCCAAACCAGAAAGCTAAACTGAGGTCCTGTACTCTCTTGTACAGTATTCGTATTTGTTGTTCCAAAGTGTGACTAATACAGTAGAATTTTGCCCACAAAAGCTTAATCTGAGAAGTGCTGTGCTGTGTCATCATGGTCACGCTGCATCCAGGACTAAAGCCTGAGATTGTGCACTCAGAGGTAACTCAGGGGTCTCTGCTCTTCTTCATTTCGCCCTACTGAGCCTTTGTGCTATGGTAGTGTTTAATTAAATGTTTGTGTATCACATTCTCTGGAGAATCACAGCTTCTGCTTAGGTTATAGATACTGTGCATGGCCACAAAAAGAGAAAAATACTGTCATTTAAGGTACTCACCTAGAGACAGAGCTAGGTTTCTTCTCATAGACTGTTTTATATTGTGTATAACTGCATTGCACAAACATTCGAGTGGTCTAAGGTTGGAAGCTGTACATCTTGAGTTGTCCTTAATTCTGCACATAATACAGGCCTGATTTTGCTATCTTTATATATAAACAGAGCAGACTCTCTTTGTAGAGGCTTTTAGTTAAGGAAATGCTGTAAATTAAGTACTGTTAATAGTTTTGAATCATATATGATCTGTTCCGTTATTTTATTTAACAACAGTGTTCAAGTTGTTTCCTGATGCCAGCTTGCTGATGCCTCTGATTACCTAGCAGGGCAGTAGTGCAGGATGCTGAGACTTGTTCCCAGCTGCTTGTAGAGGCATATGGACATTATGTACTGGAACTGAGATCCTGGAGGAATAGCTAGACTATAGAAACCCAAACCAGCTTAGTGACCTTACAACTAAGAAGTTATCTGTGCAACTACGGTGAAAACACGGTTTGTGAAACATTGACAGGAGTTACCACTTTTGCCACTGTTGCAATACAGTTTCTAACATTTTATTCTGGACTGTTGTGTGTATTGCCTTGTATGGTTTATGTCTTCGTTAAAAGCAAATTGTATTTTTTCCCTCTTCACTCTCATCTCCAAAAGAATCTCATGGGGATTTACCATATCTTCTGTGCAAAGCTGATTTTGATGTTAGATTTATACTGGTAGCAGATACATAATGGGCAGTATAAATATTTTCTAATATTTTGACTAATAAATAAGTCATAAATAATGATTCTTTCATGAATAAAATGTCTTAATGAGTAGCTGTATATTTTGAGTTGTCATTTTCTTGGAAGTAGAATTCTAAAGTGAATAAAGCATTATATTTTTACAACTTCAGGTCTTTTTATTTCAAATGTGAGTATACTCTATAAACACAGCCTTATATATGGCATAAATATGTTTCTTTTATTGGATTTGCTGTGGAAATAGAAACCTTTTTTTGCTTAACTCTGTTTGTTCCTGAATTGTAAAAATGTAATAATGATAGTTTATTGCCTGTGCTCTGTGAAAGCAGAAGCAGAGCTATTAGGCTCCCAGCAGGAGCTATTTATAGCTTGACATTGAGTACTCCTTTTTATATTGGTGCAGCTACACCTACTCACACAAAAAGTCAGCTATAAAAAACTTCAAGTGGTTGGTTTTTTTTTCTCTTTCTCTTTTTACCTTATCCTTATTCACATGGGCATTTCTTCAGGTGATTTGAGCTCAAGCCAGAAAGACCAGGATATTACTGAGAAGAGATTAATCTTGCACAAGCAAGGAAAGAAACAGTCTGCCCAGTTTTTCTTTTACATGGATGAACTGTTTAATATAGGAAGGGAAGAGATTATATGAGGGAGAGGAGCATGTACATGGAGTGTGATTTTTCTGACAAGCTAGCAGTTGTGGAATGTGCAATTGTCGAAGAGAATGAGGCTGTATGTTAGGATATGGAGGAGTAAAATGTTGCCACAGAGCTGAGGACAGAAGAGCAAGGGAGTGACACACACACGCTGTCCAAGTGGCTGAATAAAGGTGTCAGTATATGAGAGCTTAATAAGGAATGTTTTCAACAGCCATATTTAGCCTTGATGTTTCCAGAGACAGGATGGAAGATGACCACCAAGAGTAATGTTTTCTCACTTGTTCTAAATTTTCAATATTCCTTTTTATATTTTTATGTGGTGTTTAGAACAGTGGTTTTCTGATCTGAGTAGGGGATTCTAGGTGCTTTTTAAATGCAGATAATGACAGCTGATCCATAGTCAATTTCGTTAATGTCTTTGCTTTCAAAATATATGTAAAGGTTATGTTTTTGTAGTGACTCCTTTGATTTCCTCAGTACAGTTTATGTTGTATCCCGTATGCTGCATTGCCAGGTCTTAAAACTCTGTTTCCATGTATGTATTTGTGTGTCTGAACCAGGCCACGTGTAGCAAATGCGGTGGTTACACTGTGTGATAGCATAAACAGTAGACTTCAGTTGTCACCTCAGAACTGGTGGAGAGCAAGGACCCTACATATCAGGTTTAGTGCCTGTTAACTATTTTCCAGTGTGGTCGGTTTAATGCATTTAAGTAGTTATTATACTGGTATTATCGAAGAGGTGACAGCTTCACTTTGTTTTCAGCAGTTATGAATTTCCTCATTAGGCTTTCCTTAACAACCTAATGATCAAGAGAATTCTCATTTTCTTAAATGTATTTCTTTTGTTACTTGGGACATGATGGAGCTTTTTATATTTGTATCCATCTGTCTTCATACTTTATAAGAGTGATTAACTGTAGTAATTTTTATGTCCTTATGGAGTATGTATCTAAAATATTTAAAATCACACCAAGTGGGAGGAAATTGTTTGGTTTTACAATTCAGTAAAATACTCGGTTTATGTTTCATGGTTTATCATTGATGTAATTATTCTGATAGAAATAAATTATTTATACAGTTCAGTGTGAGTTTATATTGCTGCTCTACTTATGATTGAATTTAAGAGTAAGAGAAAAGCCATTTAATGCTAGATATTAAAAACTTAAAAAATCAAATATTCGTACAACAAGACAGATATTTGTTAGTCCTGTTTCTTTTTGTCTAGTCAGTTTGCTACGCTGTAGTTTGTCAGATGTGTGGGAGTATTGCAGGATTTTCCTCTTGTGAAATTTGTAGAACCATATTCAAATCTTAGAGTGGCTGAAGACGAGATAGTTTGACTGAATGTAATCATTGTCTTAAATGGTGTTGTGTAGTTAAACAAGTGACAAGTTGTTTAATAACAAGTTAAACAAGTATGAATGGAAGCTTCAAAGAGCGTACATACTCAAAGCATGTATTGGAGAGGTCTGGCCCACAACGAGCCTGATCTCAAGGTCTTGGAAGTGCTGAAGAGAAAATGTTGATCGGTGGTATTAAGATTTAAAAAAAAAAAAAAGTGTGGCAGTTGTCAGCGTTGGTGTCACCACATCAGGTTGGTGAGACTTACTGGCATTTTCTGACAGATTACTTTCATATGCTGTAAAGATTTAAAGGTTATATAATTCACAGAATCATAGAATGGTTGAGGTTGGA